CAAGCCGGTAGCATCGTGGGAAGAATGTGGTGGGATCCACTTGGTGGAACCAGGGCAGGTTTTGGAGGTTGGTGCACAGACCCTCCTGTGTAGAAGGACATGGGCAGCAGTCGGTGCTGGACCCACCCCCAACCCTGTTCATCCCCAGCACCGCATCCCCGGCATCTCCAGGCTCTCACCTTGGTGATGAAGGCTCCAATGCCGGTGAAGTGGTTCACCACCTGGTGGTCCTGCAGCCGCCGATAGTCTACAGCGCTGCACCGGCTTGTCCAGATGAAGGTTGGTATCTGGTCTCTCACCATGGAGGACTGCGGGAAGGACAGAGGGGACCAGAGTGAGACGTGGAGTCCCTATCCCCGATCACCACCCAGCCCAGGCTGTACACTGCGGAGTCCATCCCTGGCCCTCTCCACTAACCATCATATTGTGGATGCCATCGGGGTCCTCAGCATACCACTGGACCTCCTCCTGCTCTTCCTCCTCCTCCTCCTCAAGAGGCTCTGGGATCTCCACCAAGGCCTGATCCCAACAGGATGCTGACCCTGCCTCTGAGTGGAGCGCTGCCTCCCACTGCTCCTCACCACCACCACCCTCCTCCTGGTCATCCTCCTCCTCCAGCAGCTTTTTGGTGTCCTTCTGCTGCCTTGTGCAGGTGCCCACCCTGACAGTGCTGGAGAACTTCTTCTCCACCCAGCCTCGTGCTCGCAGCAGCTTGCGGATCACAGGGTAGGGGCCCTGTATTGAGAAGATCTTCTTCTTCTGGGGAGGGACACGAGCACTCAGCCATAAATGCAATAGACACGTGTTCATGGCATGTTGGGGGTGTCGGTGTGTGTAATCAGGTCCCACCTTGACGGCCTCCGCCACGTGCTCTCTGGCCCTCTTCCACAGCTCCATGTTGACCGTGTGCTGCTGCTCGGTGCTGGCAGGAGCTGCCAAGGACAAGCCAGGCTGAGCCACTGGCCCCATGTCCCTAGCCCCATGGCAGGGACAGCAGGGCAAGGGGTGAAGGCACCCACCTTCTTGCTCCTGCCTTCTCGAGCTGGGGCTCTCTGACACAGGATGCACCGAGTCAGAGAGCTCCATGATGGAGTCCCAGCTCATCTGCACCCCGCAGGGGTGCTTCACGGGGCCCAAAGGCCCCACTCGAACTGTTGTTGAAGTTCGCCAACAATCGCAGGAACGTCT